TTTTTTTTTTTCTTTCGATTGTTTATTTTTTCTTTTTTCTTTCTTCCTTTCTTTCTTTCTTTCTTTCTTCCTTCCTTTCTTCCTTTCTTTCTTTCTTTCTTCCTTCCTTCCTTTCTTTCTTTCTTCCTTCACTCCTTCCTTCCTTCCCTCCTTCCCTCCTTCATCCTTGCTTCTATTCTTCTATCCATTCTTTCTTCCTCACTCCTTCCCATCTTTCTCCCCTTATTTCTCTGCCTTCTCTCTGTTTCTCAGTCTATCATCATTCCATTTATAATTCATCTATTATTTCTATTCATCATCTTCATCCACCAATCCATCCATCTTCACCCATCCAGTTATCCTTATACATCCATTCTATCCAACCATCAAGCTATCTTTCCACCCTTATTTAAGCATTATTTCATATATAAATGAAATTCGACGCTCATTTATCAATCCAATCTGTTTGTCTGCCCGCCCATCTGCGTGTTTGTCCATCTGTAATACATCTGCCTACTGAGCTGCAGCTTTCTCTACTGACAAGATTGTCTGCACTGAGCCCTGCTCCTTATCAGACAGGCTGTGTTTGTTAACAAAAAAATTAGATATTTTTTATATTTTCCTTAGTCCAGCTACTTCAAGCAAACAGAAATAGGGAAACGGAGATCTCGAAGCCACAAGAACAACTACCCTCACTGTCCCAAGCCACAATGCCATCTTGGCATCCTGATGCTGTGGCAATAGGCTACTGGAATAGGCCTTCCATTCTCCCCAAATTGTCTCACGATTTCCTTTGCGTCAAAGGATACTTAAAGTCAGGACTAGAAGGTAAAAGTGGTTTTATCCGTAAGAGTATTTATACATATGAACAACATGGATACCATACGGAAATTATAAAGGAAAACAAAAACGCGCGCCAAAACAATTTTCTAGTGCATTTTTCATGGATTTTTTCACTCGATTTAAACAATGCTGCACTAAAACTCGTCTCGCGTAACATCGCTTCAAGTAGTTCGTCCTTGTTTTAAGAGCAATTGATAGCAAGTAGCTAATAAATCTATGCCACGGGCTCTTGTTTCATGATCGAATTGAATTTAGGAGTTGATTTTTACGGAGAGAACTAGAGAATCCGGGGAAAAAGCCCTCGAAGCATGTGATGGCAAGTCCGGAGATCAAACCCATGACAACAGCGGTGAAAGGTGGCGTTGCGTTAGATGTCTAGCACAAAACTCACTTCTTAAGACTGTGAAAGACCCCTCCTTCCTGAACCATGAGAAAATAAGAAAGCCCATGCACGACTCAGTGCGCGTTTCATGTCCGTCATCTGGGGCGCGCAGTCGCCGCAAAGATTGAAATCTCAGTATACGTACGCTTCAGATATCCATTTGCAGGATGGCGTCGTTTTAATACCACTACCGAAATGTTCCGCAAATTTTCTTTCTTATTCAAATTTGTATTACCTCATGAGAATAGTAAGATATTGGTGCTAATTCCTGAAACAAAAGTTTGCAAGGGAGTCTGGTAGTGGTAGTAAATGATTCAATAATGCAGTGACCTATTTTCTTGATTATTCGTAGATTCAAATGAGTCAGAGTGTCTGGAGTTCCTGGTGGACAGTGCCAGTGATGTGGTAACGGCCAGAGAGGAAATCATCGAAAAACTGGGATTTAATTTCCTCCAACATGTCGAGAGTCACGGGGTTCACACCATAGCTGACAAACCTTTATATTCGGGATATATAAGACTGGGAAGAAGTGCCTGGATTAAGGTTGAGGTAAGCACGTGTATAGGACTTGCCAAACATTGGCTCTTGATACTGCAGTGTGTGTGTTTTTGTTTGTTTATTAATTCTTATTGCAAATGAGTTTTAGCATGTCTTTCTTAGGCAATAARAAGAGAATATGAAGTAAGTACTTCATACTATCTTGGCAATAGAGGCTTTGCACCATCACGTGCCTACGCCAATAATACAGCTTGGACTGCCCGTGGTTAGATGTCAGAACAATTAAAATCCCTTTGCTCTTGGGAATTCAATTCTTTATTCTGTAAAAGGTTGTATATATTGTTCCTGCCATCTAACATGGCTGCCGTTACGTGATGGTGCAAAACCCCTATATACTGATCATAGCTTGATTTTAAAAGATTGTTTCTTAATCTTGCAAGGTTCAGCCTGAGAAATACGAAAGCGTCGGATCGACAGTAATGAAGGAGTTTTTTCATTTCATCAATGGGAATTTTCACCAGTGGATCCCCAACTTTCACAGCCACATCACAGAAACACCACCTATAGGGAGAGAGTAGTTGACAATAGTTGAAAATAGCTTCTTCAACAAATGCATGCAAAATTGTGTATTATTTATAGGAACCGTTTATAATTTAAGGATATTGGGGTGCTATGTGGTTTTTGTTTTGTCAAGCAACAGTCAGGGGGGAGAGTTATTGTAAATAATTTTTAATACTGTAACCATTGATTGTATATATTCTGTCATTCTGTTGGGGAAAAAAAAAAAGGTTTCATCAGAGTGGAAATATGAATAGAGTGCATATCATAATTATATTCGGGAAAAAGTTAACTAACAAATTCGGTACAATTTATTGCACTTAAAGTTCTTCGTTCTACAAAATTAGTAAGAGGTTTAGTAGATCTCAGTATACCCTGAACCACTTACTGAATTTCGTGCAAAGTTTCACGAAAGCTAACGAAATAGTGTTTTTTTTTTAAAAACTCAGAATCCACATATAGCCCCTCAATCCATAAATTATAATCGGTTCCTAGGGATCTTTCATTCTCATTAGTAGAAAGAGAGGGAGAGTGAGAAAATGACTGAGATGAAGTTAAAAATGTGCCATTCATTGAGGGAAGGAGGTGGATGTTAAACAACGTGCCATTCCCTAAAGAATAAGATTGTTTGAGTGGTATCCATATCCTTGTGTCTTTTCATGCACGACCGTTAAACAAAGAAATGATACTCTTGAGAATGACACGTGGTTTAAAATGGGAAAACATTACGCCCAAGCTAATGAAAAGGTTTATTGGGGTTCCAAAATTTTAATCTTTTTCTCCACCCTCCCATAAGGAATGAACGGTCCCTAAAAATGAATGGTTTTTATAATAAAATTTTCACTTAATTCTTATTATGAATTTTTACGAACATTCATATACACTTATTTCAATAAAGTTAGTCACCAAAAAACCTAGAAAGCTGAGATCACTGAGGATCATGGGAAACTTTTAATATCAAACAAGTAAAGCTTTTGATACAATTTGCAGCTTGAGGATGCTCAGAAGAGGTGAGACTGTAACTGGTAAAAGATCTAAAATCCATCAACAGTTATTAAAGCGGTTGAAACGCATGTAAAATGTAACTACCCATAATCCTTGTTGGTCTCAGCTTTGTAGCTTTTCAGGCGACTAAGAGGCTCGCAAACGTTATTGTTATACACTTAATTAATAGAAATGTTTTTTGCATTTTCTAATCATAGTTAATTGAGGGGAATTAACTATGTTCTAATATATAAGGCGCTATGCAAGGTGCTTTAAATTGATAAGCTAGCGAGGAAAGAGTGGAAAAGCAGGTTGTATGTTCACAACCTTTCCAGCTTTTCCTAGAACTTTAAAGGAAAAAATGTAGAACATTGATTGCTTAAAGAAAGTGATAGGTCAACCAAATCTTCCAACAAGGAATTGTGGGTAAAGTGACAACTCGTTCACTTCAAAAACATTTAGCCAGGCCTACTCTTGCTCTCCAAAAATGTATTGAATTTGAAAATTTATTATGTAAATATTTTATTCTATAAATCTTATCAAATTTTTATATTTTCACGCTTCATGATACAGGAACTGTTACTTAAGGCGAATAAATATATGAATAAAGTTTTGTGGATGCATATCGATAAAATTTGATAGATCAAGGGGAGGGGAGTGTACAGTGGAACCTCGTTAATCCGGCCACCGAAGGGACATTCAAAAGTGGCCGTTGTCAAAAATATGTTGAAAATTTGTTTTATTCATCAGTACGAAACTACTATGTAGTATAGTTTTGACCATCATTTTTTATTGCACAATGCGGGATAGGACCAAGATGCAATGGCTCTCTCGTTTTCTTGATGAACGACACCAACAACGCTTGCTACCATTATAACAATTTTAATAGCAAAATTATAAAAATACATTGCTTTTCTATCATTAAGTATATTGCATAAATATTCACAGCAGGGAAAATTTACATATATAAGTTTACATCCTGTGACAACTGATAATCAAATAAAAAATATATGTATATTGCGTGACGCGTGACATGACGGTAACGCATAGAAAAAATATATATCGTAATGGGCAAAGTATTCATTATCGTCATCTTTTAAGTTTTTATCTTCTAATATAATTATATTACCGCAAAATTACAGTTGACGTACAGTATTATAATCCAATAATTATTAGAGTAATTAGTTAGATACAGCACTTCAAGGGTTGTTTTTACATAGCACCATATTGTCCTTCTTTAAAGGAAAAATCTTGTGTTTTCTGACATCTTGAGGTCTTGATTTTATAAATAACACGAAGGATGCGGATAACAAACAGCACGCAAACCAAGATCAACAGAACCAGCGAGAAAATCGAGTTTCTTTTGTCGGAGTTCCAGTGCTTGGAAATAATGGCAGACAGAGCAACAATCAACACAGGGTACTGGCTGACTGTGTAGCGGAGAAAACGTTCCAGCACTGTATTTTCAAGGATAAACCAGACCAAGATCTCAAGGGTGAGGATGACTAGAGCCACTGTAGAAGCTGTTGCGTTGGCTACGTCATGTACGTAGGTAATTGCAATCGTCATGTTGAGAAGAGAAGCTACAGTAGTCCAAGTAGCGTAGAAGGCGATGCCGTTGTGAACGAGTGCTTGAATGGCGTAGAAGTCGATCTTCGAGCAGGTGGCATCGTATAACTTGTTGAAACGGTAATAGGACAAAGCCAAGAGGCCATAGAGGTTGAAGGCGATGCAAAATAGGACGATTGAGGCTCCAGTGATCTTCATTCTCTGCCATATTATGATCCAAGTGGAGTTGAACACACAGGTACAAATGAACAACACATGAAACAACCAGTTGAGAACATCAGGAGCGTGAGGACGGCATATCAAACTCAAGGAATACAGAATCCATAGCATCTGCCATGTGTAGATAACACCCCAAATACTAAACGCCCATCCTGCAGGAGTGATTTCTGTGCTATACTTGTCGGATACATCGCCAGTACTGAGGTTATTACCGTAGAGATCGTTCAAGAACCCGGGACGTACGTTTGGAGTAGCGAAACCATTGAGTATCAAGGTCAAAATGTAAGCAATGAGGGATAGCACGCTTAGAACAGAGCGAATTGTTATGTAGGAAGATCCCATCTTGAAACTCTTTGACTGCTCTTTCTTTGATAAACGCTGAAGGCAATTTAGCGATGTACAATGGCATCTGGTTTTATACATCAATTTGTTACGTAACGCAAGCACTATAATAGTAATCTGCACGTGAACATTGTACATTACGTAAGAGAAAGCACGACATTATGCACGTGAGCATGGCTTTCCTAAGTACCCGGCTAAGTACATCCCTAAGTACATCTTTATAAATGTTTTTCCACGTTTAAATCAGTTAAATACAAGTTTAAAGTTTTATTTATGTATTTTTGAACAACCCAAGAACACAGTCATTTTGATTGACTCAAAGATATTGGAAAACGGCAGGAGATTTTGAACTATTTGAATTATTATGTAATTTTTTTACGGTGAATCCATGCGTGTTGTCATGCAATGTGTACATTTATTATATTGGATGTAGATCGGAAGATTGATTTTTAATTTTGTAAGTTTTGATAGCTAAAGAATAATTTATATATTTTCTTAAGATTACTTACTTTTTGTCAGATATTTTTAATTCGTTAGAATTTTTTAAATGTTTTCCCCCCCAAAGACCCGACAAATCGCACGTTGAAGATTGTTATGAAAGCAATTAAGAGCAGAAAAGCTACCCGAGAAACAAATACAAACGAAAGGAACAATAAAAAAGGAAGCTTTGCAGAATAAATTAAAGATAAGAAAAAGCCAAAAAAAAAAAAA